GAGATTTCTAGCAATATCATAGAAATCCATTAGATATCTCATTAGTTCTTTACAGTTAGTTTTTTGTTCCTCGTAAGTCGATCGCATTCTTTATATTTTGTCTAGTATTTGCTACACGACCTTCGATCGAATCGATTCCCTTCTAGAACCTTCAGGTCCACCATCAGTTCAAGGTTTTCAGTTGTCTTTCATAATTTTCTCTTTCTGCAGATCTTTTATTATGTATTTACATAGAATCATGTTATGTTAGATCATCATTATGTGAGCCTTGATATATCTGAAGTGTTAACCTTTAATTTATATATTGAAGCGAAAGAGATAACTTCTTATGAATCAGTATCATGATAAATTTACAAAACTATTCAGCTAATACCTGTCCACGCCCTGAATAACATAAACATTACACATTTACCAATATCATTGTGTAACATTTATTTAAGGTGTGTTGCATTAGGGAATATTATATTGTATATTTGCATCTATTTTATAATTATTCAATAATATTATGATTAGAAGAGTAGTTTCATAAGTAGAAGATAATGTGATGTGAATGCTGATGGTGTCGAGGGGAAATTTCGTAATTGAACTAAATAGGCTAGGTCTAGAGCTGTGAATTGCCTCCTGTGGAAATTTATGGATTGATTTCCGGCCAATCTTCACATTTTTCCTGTCCGGTTCCGGACTTTGATTGATGCAAATGAAACGAAAGTGAAATGTAAATTGATTTCATTAGCCTGCCCGAATGACAGCCGTTAATTAAGCTGTCGGTAGTTAGTTTTAAATGGCGCGCGTTCACGAGAAGAGTGTTGTCGCCATTGCGTAATCACTTGGAAATGGCAATCGCCTTTACGAGGGTTAATAGAAAGCACATATTTATATATATTTTCTACTTTTTGATCCAAAAAGAAAATGGAAATATTAAATGCGTTAGGGAATGAATGTTAGTTGAGCGTTCGTTCCAGAATTGGGCTCCGGTCTACATTCAGAAGGCATGTATCGATCGAGGCTTCCTCGACGAGCGGGACTGGAACAGGCGACGAATGTATCAGCCGCTCAAGGGCGGTTTCCAGCAGTCGTCGGGGCGCTGACTAGGTGCCGACTAGTCTACCCTCCTTCACCCACCTTCCGCAATTATTCCACTCCCTCGTATGCGCGAGCACTATATTATTTCGTCTTATACACACTACACCGCACTCTTCGTGACTTCTTAATTAATATTATTATATTAGACGCATTTAATTACGTAATATTGTTTTGCAACAATACAAGTTGCAAAAAGTTATTTCATTGAAAATTTTCACTCTGTCGCCAGGTCAAATAATTAAATTAAGTAAATATGAAACGAATTAAAAGAAATTGCTACTTTTTATTTCATTTATTCATAATAGAATTTATAGGAAAGGCAACTTTGGAGATTAGTAATTGTGGACGGAACGAGATTCAACAATTTCTTATAATTGTTATTAGTTTTAACTCCATAAATGTTATTTCCCAATACAAACATATATTTGATCTCGGTGGCAATCGAAATCCCGATGTTCGAAATCCCAGCTGGCTCAAAATCCTGAAGTTCGAAACCCCGACTATATCGAAATCCCGACAGTGTCTTTTATTATTATAAATTTATACAAAAACATTTTTATGGTAGTCGGGATTTCGATATAGTCGGGATTTTGATTGTCGGGATTTTGAATAAGTCGGGATTTTAATACGGCCGGAATTTCGAACGTCGAGATTTTGACGGTCTTTCGGTTGTCGGACTTGCGATATAGACCCATTTGATCTTACTAACTTATACTTATACCAGTGTTTTTCAACCTTTTTTTTTTGTATTGCATGGCACACTTAAACTTACAGTTCGATTTCCGCGAACGATTTCTATAGAAAATAACTTTGTTAATGAACACACTAAGATCCTCTCACGGTTAAAAATCACTGACTTCAACTGTTGGAAAAAAACGAAATGGAACGATTTCTAAATTAGATGGAAAGCATGAAATAATCGATTTCTACAAAGACAATCTTTCATCTGACAGTTTACAATTTATATAGAGAATATTGTTCTTAGACATGTTTCACATCAATAAAATTTAAAAAAAAATCTTCATTTTTCAATTACTATAATTTACATTTCGAAAATATCTTTTTCTACTTTCTTTAACACTGGAGGAAACTGGATTATATTTATTATGTTTTGTGTTGTGTTAGATAATTAAAGCCTCGCACGTGAGTGATTTCCTTAGGTGTGCTTAAGCATGTGTGAAATTCTGGGCTCTGATTAGTATTGGATTTACGGTTCGTGGCTTCGCGGTTTGTCGGGGTTTCCGGTGTGAACACCTGTATTTCGAGATCGCTTCATTCCTTCAAGAGGTTCGCTGACGACTATTTAAAATCGACAGTCTAACGGTGCTATGGGAATTTATTGGGACTCGGTTAATCCTCCATTCGGACAGAAACGAATTATTTTTTATCGTTTCCGGTCTTAAAACCATCAAGAAGAAGAAAAAAAAATGTAGATTGCATTAAAACTGCAATTGCTGTCCAATTTACTTGATAAATATTATTTTATAACATCTGAGAGTATATGAAATATCTTTTCTATTGAGGAAATTGTCGAATCGTAGAAGTAGATTCATTTTGAGATACGGACTGTTTCAGTTATCCGTTAATTACGCTTTTGTAGTTTACTCGAGTACCGTGTTTATCCTTGCCTTGTATGCAGATGTGATGACTTCCTTTCTAGAAGTCGTAAATTTTGTTCGCAAAATGTGTTCGTCCTAATTTCGCGCCGCATTGTTTCAGGTAAGTAATTTCGATGTGAACAACACACGTTTCATGTGTTCCACGGCGGAAACTTACTGAATTAGCATTGTTCGTCAATTAAAGAAGGGGAAGCGCTTTCGTTACCAAACTACATTTTATCTGCAACCTCGGCACGCCTATTTTATATACTTGTTGAAGAGAACAACGGGAACGAAATTTGCATAATTCGAACACCGTTCAAAAACATCAAATGTGTCACTTTATTTTTCAAGCAATCGCATATTCAAATACACTGACATTTCTATCATTGTTCCATTCTATTATAAAAACTCTTGTTTTGATTCATTAACTTTGTTTTGTTATTCTTACTGTTTAATACAAATACCATTAAGATTGTCGACGAATCACAGTTTGTTTTGAACGTTTGAACAATCCTTATTGGACAACGAAAAAAGTGAGTTTCGAACAGTAGATAAACATTTAGTTGCATCTGCGAATCATATCGTCAAACGCATAAAAGAGGGATCGGCAACACGAGGTTTTTTGCGTGCTTAACAATTGGATTGGTTCCATCGTCCACAAAGCATTGTGTTTCTTCAAATCTAAACCAATCGACGAAAATTAGGGCGTTTCGTTTGAAATCTTTTGAAAAGAATCTCAATTTATTTTAAAAGTAATTTACTATAATCTATTGTAATTAACAAAAGTGACGTATTTTCTTTTTATTGTATCGCAAGTATAGAAACTGTATTAATAATTGCTAGGAAGTAATTAGTCGGATATAACAGTAACTAATTACGTTTATTATATTCAGAAGCCATCAACGAGCGCCGCCTTATTTATTACAGTGTTAATGAATAATCAATTTAAGCAGGAAATTACTATAATTGTTAATCTACCAAAGTGGAACCGACGATTCGTTTAACTTTTAAAAGTTTATATTTAAGTATGAGTCATATTTTTTTGAATGTTTCAATATTGAATTGGGTAAAAATACAGCCGAGAGATATTTTGCAATTTTCAGTATACGTTCTAAATATGGTCACAGCCTCAGGTTAAACGCATTAATTATTATATGTTTGAAGTATTTCAATTCTTTACATATATTATTGATTAAAAAAAAACTATACTTACCAGTTGATTAAAGCTAGAAATATAGGAATTCGTGTGAGGGAATTAAATGAAATTGAAATATTTATTGGGTTGATGACTACCTCTTTTTAAAGTATATTTTTTCAAAATATCTACAATACATGAAATGTACATTTAAAACAATAATAAATCTACACAATAATTGTAATCGTCAGTCCAACATCATTTTGTTTTTGTTTTTTTTTTTGTTTATCCTCCATTCCGCTTACATTGGAATTCCTCCTATCCATTATTCAAATCCAACGTAATTTTGCAATCCACACCCGATCCGTTAACAAAAATAAAAATATATACATCATATATATTTCTTTTAAAATATCACTTTGAACATTTAATTCCTGCCAAAGCATTATTCTTAATTTAATTTTAAACTGTTTTGGCAAGAGATATAGAATTCGAATACATTTATATAATAGCTTTATTATTTATTTATTATTTTTTTTAATAATTTCTTTACGTTTAACATTTACTTTCTTCTTCGAGATATTCACTAAAGCTATTGAAAGATTATATATATATAGTTAAAGATTGTAAAAGCTTTTCCCGTAAGCACGCAACATTACGCCGGTGTCATATTTCCTTGATTACGGAGGAATTCTATATCTGGTATTTTTGTGAATATGAATTTGAACTGCAAAAAACGAAATGTGAACGATGGATTTCTGGTGGAACTAGTTAATTGACATAAATTAAAGAAGTGCCTAATTTTGAACTGAAGAGTTTTGTACCATGTTAGGTAATAAATACTGTAGACATATATTTCTATATATATATATATATCCCTAAATATTACAAGAGTTGCAAAAATATATAATGTATGCCACACGCAGAAAATATGCTCTTTTTGCCCTTTGCTCCATTATTATTTGATTTATTCAATGCATAAAACCCTTTTCGGTCTTGTAACGAGGACGTACAGATCGCGATTTTCATTTGTTAATATCACCATGCCTGCCAAAAGTATTACGATTTGGAGGCTCAATCAAGACTTCTTCTCTTCTCTTCTCTTACTCAGTTAGTATTTACAGTCTATTTACACATTTTGGTGGAATGGCTACTTAAAAGGGGGGATTTCTTAAAGGGGGGTTTTATTAATTCGAAAATGAAAGAATTCTAATAAAAAATAAGAAAAAATAAAATAAATGACTAATAATGAATACATAATCAAGCTGGAATATATACACTCGTAACATACGCGCGCTCACACACTCCATTCACATTTATATATTTGCAAGCCAAGCAAGAAGCCCGGCGAACAGATCACTGATCCACTTCCTATTTACGTTAATTTAAGAGCAATTACGGCTCCGACAAGCAAGAAGGCGCTCGCTAAGGCGGCTTGTTTTTCTCCACCGGCCGTGGATTCTTTCGCTATTGCCTCTTCCTTTTTCTTCAAAGAGGAAGCCTCTCCGTCGGACATCATACTATTTTCATGTTTGCCACCATGCGTAGAAGCCATGTCGTCGATTTTCTTTTTCTTGTCGAAAGGTTTCTCAACCTCCGGTGGTACGATCGGAACGACTTCTTCGGTAGTAGTTGTTCTCCTTGTTGTAGTGGTAGTTGTGGTCGTAGTTGTAGTCGTCGTCGTCGTGGTGGTTGGCACGAACGTATTGTTATGTATGAAGTAAACTGGACCGGACGATTGCTGAACTTCCTTCATTTTCGATTCACTTTTCGTGTCCTTGATGACCCTCTCCCTCCTTTCATTATCTTTGTAGATTGCCGTGACCACAGCTGTATAGGGTATCTCTGATACCTCATATATTCCATTCAAAGTAATATTGACGGCAGTGCCGGTAGCCAAAAACTTTTCGATTTGTTGCACTTCGACCTTATCCTTTTTTTCTCTGATCCCCCAAACGCCTTCGAGCAGATTGTTTGACAATTTCACCTCGAATGGTAGTCCGTTCAGCATGCCGTGGCCGTGACCCCAGTTCAATAAGTAGGTGTAGTTGTACGTAATCACTGTATCGACCTTATTGACATCTCCATCGTTATTTTCGTTCTTCAGCACGGCATGTCCCAATACGTGTTCCTTCCTCTGAACGCGCTTTCTGATATTATCAAATTTAATTTTAGAAATCTCGTACTTGATCGGTTCAGTTTCCACCAGAATCTCGCCGTCTTCGAATTCCCATTCCTTATTATTCTCATCGATAACGGTGTACTTGCCCAAATTTAATGACGGGTCCAATTTCCCAAGTAAATATGTCAACGAATTCGAGTGTTCGTTGTTTTCGTGCTTTCGCCTCGCCACGTAGTTGCGGTAGGGTTCATCACCACCGGCCACAGCTCCTTGGGGATTCAACGTGAACTTATCTTTCTTGATCCAACTGAGACGGGCGCTGTTCTCTATGTTAATCAACACTTCGAAACGATCGAAAGCGTGCACCGATCCATGCAAGGACGCAATGCATTTGCGCTCGACGGGCCGAATTTGACCGGAAACCCAAATACCGTTTTGCTTGGCTCTGCACACGTAGACGGGCTGCCCGGAAACACTGTTCGCTGCTACATTGTCTTCGGTGCCGACATCTGCGAACGTAACATTAATAAACCTAGCTTCAATCTTCAATCATTACCGAATATAATTTACCTGGCATATGCTGGTAGGATCCAATAACAGCGTTATCGAAGTTCTTGGTTTGCGAGTTGGCCTGTACCCATTGGAGAGCCGTTGAAGTTAGCACTTGCTGCAAGTTCTCGGAGAGTATGAAAACACCAGATTCGCTTTTGACGCCATGCAGACTGATGCACGATAATGCGACTATCAATAGAGATAGCTTAGTCATCTTTGGACAGCTGCAACAAAGGATATATTGTTATGATATTTACATAATGGAAAATTAAAAAAATAATAATAACAATATGATGGGCGCTTCATTCATCATCGCGTACTTTCGTTTTTTTTTTTACAATTAAATCTGCGGTATTGAGCAATTTATTCGGTGCCTCTCTGAATAAAATAACTGTTACGGCAATAAATCGCCGGTGCATTTAATTAAAGAACTAGTTTTCCCGTATGACATCATCTGAACCTGTTCGAACGGGACGCCTAACTTTCATAGAAACATTTTATAATGACGAGCAAACACTCTTCTCTGTTGGCCAGATGTAACAATACGCAGCAACGTGTAAAATTACCATTATATAAGATGAATTAGTTATGGAAATACAAATATATTTATTAAAATCGATTTATCAATAAAAAAAAAATCGTATTTAGGGCAATCACCGATCAATGATTAACTTTAATTAATAAACCCATTCGAATTGATTCCCACTGAAATACTCTCAAAGCCGTGCATCAACGTCGTAAATCTGGCGAATAAAATCCTCTTGATTGATTAACTTAATAAGTGTGTGACCTTAATGTGACAATTACGCGAGATCAGATTTGAAGTTGTCTGTGTTTACCAATTCTTTTGTTTCAAACAACTACTGCGTTATTACCATCTTAATTTCCCTTGAAATAGAGAAAAGCAATTGTAGTACATTTTTTTTTATTAAGATTTCTTTACCGGTGCTCACTTATTATAATCATCCTACAGGATGTAGGGCATTAATACATATAGAATTATCCCCACGTTTCGATGTTTATCAATTGAAGTGAACTCTGGAGGTGAGCGAAATGTATACCAGTAACGCAAGTGAAAGAAGCCAACGACCTGTCTGGATGAACAATTGCCATTTAATATGTTTATAATCTAGAAACATGGATCGACCCGTAAGCGTGTGGTGTTTTTTTTTATTTTTGGTAATTTTGTGAAACGCGTAGGGGGAGATCATAATTGGGCACCTGAGTAACTCCACCAATCGATTGCGGCGCATTAAAAAGTCATGATGTCGCAGCACCCTCACCCTCTTAGCAAATGATTTAAAAATGTATGAATGATAGAACTAAAGTAGTTGCAAGAACACTATGAGCAGGCAAGCAAATTGTTTTTGCTTGATACTTCAAAACCGAGGGGATGCGGTGGTGGTCTATTGTTGTTATTTCCCGGAGAGCATATGGATCTGAATTCAAAGGGCGTTTGGTTTCTTGTATCCATGACAACCCCCTTTACTAGCCTGCAGCTACCTTCAGCTCTACCTGGAAGCGTGTTTGCATTCAGACCACTCGATTCAGAAGTATAAAAATTACGCACATAAGTAGCGCAGCAGTAAATTCAGACGAATAAACATCAATTGATTATCATTAATAATTAACTTAGGTAAATTCTATAAACAATTTATGTTGTAATGTAAAGAACGTATACATCTACAAATCATTATAACTAATAATTAAAATATTATATTTCAATGATCAAACGCTAATAATTGGTACTTTGTAAGTATACAAATAAAAAATATTACGAAACTGGACGTAATGCAATACATAAGGTTATGAGTATGCAGGCAAAAGACAACTTTCTGCACTGAAGCAGTTCTTTCTCCGAGAATAACGACCGGTTACAAGTGCACACTTCCCATAATTACATTGTCAACGCGCAGAATTGATTAATTTCCAACATAGCCCTGACTCTCGTGAGATTCTTCATTGAAATTTCCCCTATACGCGTGATTTGCATAACGTCAAGTATGCTCGTTTCGCATTTTCCGTAATAATTTCCTGTTACTCTTATTATATTATAATTCGAATCTATTTATACATATAGGAGGCTGTTCTTGGTTTCGAAACCTGTGAATACGGCATTAAATGTAACTGTAACATTTGTAGAATTTGTACATGTATAATTCTTTGTGTTTCTTACCGCCAACAAAAATTAGCATTTATTTTGTAATGCAAAATATCGTTTCGCCATGTCGCATCAAAAAAAATATATATACACGTCGGAAAGTAATAATTAATTTTGCGTTTTCATTGCTTATACATGAACTATAATTAATTGAGGATGTCACAAAGTTCTTGGTTTAAAATTGATCAATTAATTAATTAAGAAATAAGACGCACACGAAAACAGGATACGTATTACACGAATTGGAAATCGAAGCATTTCCTGTCCACCTGTTCCCATAAATCATAACCCATTTCCCAAAAAAATGTATTGAACTGAAAGGTTAATTGATCACGTCATCAAATCATTTGTTTTTAGAATCCTAAACAAATATATCAATTGGACATTTGAAGGCTTCAATATTTAAGATATTTTCGCTAGTATGAAATATTTTAAAGTTTGAACAATCGTAAAACGAGACCCACACGTAATTGTAAAATGTGAAAGCTGAGCGATGCACAAATATATGTAAATAGTTTTTTTTCTGGTGGAATTTTGTAAACGTATAAGAATCAAGGTGGCTGGTGTTCGAAATCATTATGCGTAGAAAATTCGAATTGAAATATTTGAATTTCAAATGATTTGTAGAATTTAATGCGATATTCATCGTCAAGGTGAATGTGAATAAATGTTGGAATATATACATAAAAAAAAAAGTGGAAGAAGAGAGCTCGAGCGTGCGAAGTGGGTGTTTGGATATTCAACTATTGATCCGACGTGTTTGTTTCTTTTTTTTCTTGTCTATTTTCTACTGTTTTTGTACAAATAAAGAAACCCACACCACGAAGATGCCTACATTTTACATATTCAGTCTTCACGTTGTAAGGATAACTGTTGTTTACTAAAAAAACATTATGTCATAGTTCGTATGTAATGGTCATTCTCGTTTATGTTAAATTCATTCGTTTAATTTTTGTTTTTTTTTTAGAATAGCAATTCATTAAATGTTTCTGGAAACAAGTAGGCGATTTAATTAAATATTTCCAAAATGTTTGTGCGGTGTATCCTTACGTCATTAAGTATTTATGACTTATATAAGAAATATTTATGAGCACTCAATGCGCAATATCAATTCATTTAACTTAAGTAAACAAGTTAGTCAATAGGATTGAAATAAAACTGATTCTATTGGCCATTAAATGTGTGCACCCTAGTAAACCCGGCTTTCGCTCTCCCCCTTAAAATTGCAAAAAATATTAATGAAATTGCTTTATAAAATATGGACTTGTTTTTTTGGTTTCGCTCCAATTTATATTCCATTGTAATAATGGAAATATCATGTTGATATTTAAAATCTTTTACATAATTAACAGGTCATGGATACATATTAATTTTGATGAACTCATTGATTAATTTAATTACGTATTTTAATAAATATGTCAAGAAGACACGTATTATTAATGTACAAATGAGAAAAGATGTAATTAATTGTAGAAGTTATAAACGTATTGTTTCTTTGTGCGATCACGTCGGCGACGTGCTTCGTTAATACCATAAAAGCTTTATAATTATGGATCGAAACGAACGGCAATACGAACATAAATCTCTTGTTAAGTTTATTGGTAACATTAAAAATAAATAAATATTTAAACTAGAAATTGACACATATATGGAACGATTTTTTCTCTTCTTCTATCGATTACATTGCGTAATTTAGTAATAAAAATTTAAGCGAATGTAGAAATATAACCTTGCCGCATTAATGAATCACTTTTTCTTGTGATATTCAAATTCGAGGTATCTGTTTTGTAGTTAGGAAAGATTAAAGTGTAAACTTTCTAATTGCAGTGTGAAAGAAAAACAAGTATTTGGAAACAGATAATTATATATTTAATTTGCCTATAAACAGGAAGTTTTCGAACTAATGAAATGTTTGTGAACTAAATAAGTACGCACCGATTCTTAGTAAGTACAATGTTATGAAATTCTCCGGCGGCGATTACATACTAATCATTTCCTACATTTTTTTTTGCATCAGAGGTGAGTGTGTCCTTGCACTTTTACATCCATATATAATGTACATGGAAACTTCATTCATCTCGCTGTTAATGCGAAATTAATGATCGATTCCTGAACAAGTGGATTTATATGTTAAACGTCCTTGTCGCAGCGTTCGCGGCAATTTAGCAATAAAAAAAAATTCAGTACATTTGAAAATTACGGACACATTCTTTGCTAAATAAATGGAAGAGAGAATACTTGTTAAATTGTGTCACAACACAATTGATCTTGAAGGCGGTTATATAAGTGCTTTTTTTCGTTGTTTTGTTTTGCACGCACGTAACTCAATTGGAGGCGACGCACGCAATTGCCGCAGTTTATTTTCACATCAATTTTCAATTGGTGTTTCACGCTTCTTCTTGTTTCTATTTATTATTATTATTAATACTTTATCAGATCCAATCAGAGATGAAATTGAAGGAAACAATGCCAGAAAATGCTTATGACCTTGTGTCTGAATGTTCTCAGCTTGGCTGGCATCTGCGACGAGTAATTGTGGTGTTCTTGGTTAATGGCATCAAATCATATAGGATTGAAGCGAGCAGTGAGTGCAGTAATATCCTGCCCTAACGTCCTCGGTATTATTCAATCAGTTCCTTAATTAGCTTAAATGTATAAATCGCAGCGCATAAATTATTTGCGAATCATTGCGTTGGATGCAATTAACGTGGCCTTGCCATTGGTTAACATTGAAGGAGTGCGGTTGATTGGACGAACTGCAATTATGAATCACTATCGGCACGTTTGAAAAAGTCTCCCGACTCGAGGAATGAAAATCGCATCAACGAATTGCAAATTAAAGTTTCAAACACAACTGCAGTAGAGCCGCCGGCACTCAACTGAAGAATTGAATGAAACTCTAAACTATGAATAGTTACGTAATTATTATTTTTTTGTAAACTATCCAGATGTAACGGATCGTGTAGTATTCTGTTTGATCCAGGTAAAGAAGTCCTTTTGAAATGTGAAGAGGAGACGTGCAGCTGAATGAAGCGGAGTCCCCCTCTTTAATTTTTACCGCGT